GAGTCCATTACTTAGTGGACCGTGACAAAGAGGAAAAATGGTAATGACTGCAAATCATACAGCAGTGCCATCTCTGCATGCAGCAATCAGTGATTACTGTCATTGAAGTCAAGCTCTTTCAGCCCAGCACCTTATTTCCAGCAGACGTTGTTTAATATCCAAAACTTACTAGAACCTACTAAGGGAACGGGCAAGCTTCTTAAGCCTTTAAGGTAGACTTCCTTGCTGGTGTTTAATCTTCTCAAGGAGAAAAAGAACAGAGGATGTATCCTGGGAATGGATCATAGCTTATGTACGATAGTAGACAAAGGCTGATGAACTACTAAAATTGCCCTGGGAAAGTAACAAAGTCAAAGATGGAAAAAAGTTGCATTGTTACATACTAGAGATTCAGATTTCATCCTCAAGCACTGAACAAAAGGGAGGGGGACAGTGCAAAAGAATGCTTTCATACATTTTATGAAAGTAAAATATGAAAACCAAACTTGGTTACAAGTGACGTTTCCCAGGAAAACAAAAATCAAAAACTCAACGGAAAACAGAGTTCCTCAGCAAGTGACTAAAGAAAGTGTTTCTTAAGGTGGCAAAAAAGAAGACCAAGGCACTACTCCACTTTGCATAAGTAAATATAAGGCAATCCAATTCCTCAGTGGAAACAGCAAAGCCTCCCCACTTTCAAACTGCAGTGGAGGGCAAACTGAAGGAACAGAACAGGCAGATACCCATTTAAGTTAGGGTCTATGCAGACCTCTGACGCATCTCTGAACTAGCAGAATGGACCACTGTATAGGGCTGCAAGAAGTATTGTTGGTTAAGGCTACGTGTCTGCACGTCAAATCACAGTATCAAACATGTCAGACCTCAGAAACATGAACACGGTGTAGTAGGAGCACAGAGTAATTATGTTGTGTGTATAGAGCTAGGACAGACAACACAGCAGATACAAGAGAAGAAGCCACACACGAAAAGAAGTTACAAAGGCTGTAAAGGTGTTCCATCCTACAAAGCAAAACCACTGCTCAATTCCTGTTACCTCCTTTGCTCACAGCTCATTATAACCAGTGCTTCCATTACCAATTTCAGGATACAAACTGACGAAACAGAAGTACCAAGTATAAATATTATTTCTGCTTTCTCTGGAGAGAATTTACTCAATTACAACCTGTAAATTTCCCAAGTCTAAACACCTAGTATAACATAATTCTTCTATAATTATAGTTTCTTCCCAAAGGGTTAATTACAGAGGTGACACTTGTTACTAAACTGAACAAAGAAGGGGGGAAAAATCTTCGTCCCACTTTAAGAAATACCAAGGCAAAAAAGTTTTCATTTAGTAATAAAAACAGCATATTGACATACCACTAATTAATGAGGATAGGCAGAAGATCTTTTTGATAGGATGTGAAAATCAAAAAGGGAATAGACTACACCAAGGTGTCAAAGCTAGTAAAAAAAAATGGCAGGACAGAGGAAGGAGAAAGGTGTGTAAGGTATACAGGTAGGAAAGACTTCATTGCTGATAAGGCAGCTTTCTCTTTAAAAAGGAAACATATTAATCCTCTTAAATTTAGATGAGAAAATGGCGTATTTCAATACATTGTCCCAAAATTAACATGAACATTTATATGCCTGTTGCAAGCCAAAAACTGACCTCTTGAATAGAAATCTCTATTTAAACTAATTCTAAAAAAAAAAGAAACATACCACCTTTGGCCCAAAATTTATAGATGCCACCTTATAAAGATGTCTTTCCTATAGAAGTTAAATATGGACAAAATCTCAGCTTCATAAATATTTTTGCTTCAGAGTTCTAAATTGCAAATTACTTACTACAAGAAATAGTACAGTTAAAAAATATCTCAAAGGGGAAATGTCTATATATACAAGCTATGTTATAAATGTATGTGACATCACTGAGAGCAGTTGTGTTTATGAATTAATGCTACATAGTTTTTACAACCCTGTGGAAAATATTTAAAGAGCTAAAATGAGCCAAATAACACTATAAATAATACAATATTGGGTTTTAAATATGTGATAATGAAAAAAAAGTTTGACACACAGTAAGCAGAACAGGTGCTTATTGCATAGATAGACTTCAGCTGCTGCTATAAAAGCAAGATCTGGTGATGAAAATACTTTTACCTCATTCTCAAATGCCACCACTGCTGCCGGAGTACATTTATTATAAATGCAAACAAAACCTACCAGATTTAAAAACAATAGCCTTGATGCTATGCACTGAGACAATACTCTGTAAATCAGTTTATTTCCCATTTAGTGGACAAATCCAGACAGTGGAATTATTTTTCTGCAAGTGAATAGTAAAACCAAAGTGCTTATTTTCCCACAAGAAGAATGTTCACTGTGAGAATACTGGGTCTTGCAATATCCCATGAAGTTTTCAATTTAAAGCTTAGTTCTAGGAATTTGGAACTGTAACATCAGGGTCTCTTGCCGTTAATAACGACTACACTACAAATGGCTAAAGAGCAGTTATGTGTGGAAGAAGTAGAACAGTACAACAGCTTAATTAAGGAAAAGAGTTTTAGTGCACTTTGCTCATTTTAGCCAGCATGCCACATTGCCCTTTTTGCATACAAAGTGGACTCAAGAATTTCCTCTGTAAGAAAGAAATGACCTGGCAAGCAAAACACTGTGTCAAGCTGCCCTTCTTTCCTTACTAGACTTCGATGTTTTAAGACAGAAGCTTTGCAAGACATTACACAATTCTTTGTTTTTATTATTAAATGAGAAAGTCTGATCTGTTACAATGTCACATTGCTAGTCAGAAATGCTTCAGTGATGAAGAAAGTCATTGCTGGCTGGGTCAAATCAAGTCCTCATTCTACAACATTCGTTTACAAAGAAATCATAGTAACGCTCAACACACCCAACACAACATTCCTTGCTTTCTCGAGAGAAAAGTATCATCATTCTTCCTCTAGTGGGTATGTTACTACATAAATTAGAAATTCTTTTTTGGACAAGACATCCCCAGATTTTCATGAGACCAAAACAGGCTTCTACAGGTGTTACAGAAGTCTTCACACATCATCATCATCTGATGTATCACTGCTGCTCGTCTCGGAATCTTCATTCTCCAGAGCAGGTTTGAAAGTGCTGTTTTTCCAGGGACTAAATTTAAAATTACAGATGAGGCCATTTTTCAAAATGCCGTTTTTCCGAAGGCCATTTTTTTGTAACTGAAATGAGAAAACACAATGTATTTAGAGAAAGAAAAAGCTAAACACAACAATCTGTGGCACTTCAACATTCTCTACATCTTGATCTCTGGGTTACATTAGATCCACAGCCCTGCCTTTTCATATATACACATAAAGGGAAACTCCCCTGAGAGCCTTCACTTCTGTGCCAGTCACCTGTATCAAAGCATCTCCAATTGTGCTAGGTTCCTGCAGTCGACAAGAGCTTATCCTCTTCTCAGCCACTTCCTTAGACATCTTGCCCCAGTGACCCCTCCTCCCACATGGTCTCTCCTGCAATGCAGTCCCTTTTCCCACAGTGCTGCAAACATCTGTGCTAAGAAGGGCAGGGTCTGCAATAAGGAAGGGGTCCAGAAGAGGAGAAGCAGCAGGAGGAACGGGTATCCCACTCTGTCTACCTGATGCAGTTGGAAAGCCAAAGACATTGGAGGGAAAGGATATAACTAAGTCTACAACAAGAAAGGAATTACTGCCTTTCCACACATAGTACAGAAGCCGGGCAATGAGCCAAGCATTTAATAGTTTAATACTCCAAATACCCTAATTAATACTTGTGTGGCTAGACTTATAGAAATATCAGATGTTCAGATTTAACACTGCACAAGATTCCCCCTTCCAGTTGCTCCCCACTGACCCCATCAGGTATATAGAACAGTCTTAATTTAAATTAAAAAAAAAAAAAAAAAAATCAAGTCTAGATTGCCTTTTCAGACTTCGTTACTAGTGAATTAAATGTCTAACAATTTCCAACAGAGAAAATTCAGATTTTGGAGAACCAAGGAAACTGCATAAAAACCTTGAAAGAAAATTCCCTTTCCTCAGGCTAAGCTGAGGGGCTGGAAAGCCTGTGCAATTCTACTACCAGCAATGCCGAAACTACTCAGAAGCACTCCTTCACCATTCCCTTTATGTTTTGAGAACAGGCCTTACCTACAATAAGCACTGGTCCCCTATCTTTTTAAAGCAACTGTTCTTCCAAAGCGCAATACTGAAATTGTGCTGAAATGGCAACATCCCTAACCATCAAAATTACTGCAGATCCTCCTCATAGGTAGGCATTTAGGGTAGCCAACTACAAGCCCATAATGGAACATTCAACTAGTGTTACCTGTTCGCTAATGACTCGAAACTCCCTCATCTCATCCTCTGTTAGTGGAGCACATGTTTCATCATTTTCACTGTCTTCTTGCCAGCCCATCTCCTTTAATAACCTATAAATTACAGAGGACAACATTAAGGAATTTGCTACACGCACTCAGACATTTCAAGCTCTGCCTACATATATGTGTAAAGATCTGTAATAAATGGGTCAATCAGTCCATAATTTTTTTTTAAACAACCTCGTACATAAAAGTAGGTTAAAAGCCTTACAAAAGATGTATAAAGCACAGAAGATCAGAAGTCCTCAGGTCCTTCACAGGTGACCCTGTTGTACCACTACATGCAGTAAAAACTGTACCTCCATGTTAAGGCAAGAGATCTGTCTCAGATGGAAAAGTAGGAATGTATTTCCTCAGCAGAACTGCTCTTTGCATAACCCCCTTGGAAACAGTATGACAAGACAAAGACTCACACTGAGGGAATCTGCAGGTTTTCCTGGATAACAGAGCAGCCATGAGGAATACTGGTGGTGTCCCTTCATGGGAACAAACTCAGGATGCAGTGGCCTCATATAGTTCCTTTTGTATAGCACACACTAGTGTCAGAGCCAGGACAGGCTTCTTTGCAATCGAGTCTCACCCAATGGCAGATGCTGATATTTTCACACAGACTAGGAGTGACTTTTGGGATGCGGAGAGGAAAATAAACAAGAGACTGATTCCTCCTGTGACTAAGCTTGATATATCCAAAGATGCAATAATCAGCGCGTTTTATCTACTGCCAAAGTGAGACAGCAGTATCTGAACAGGAAGAAAGTGGTTTTACATGTGAAGATGCTGTGAAAACGGAGGTTATCTGAGGGTGAAGACACGGTGACATTTAACAATGAAGACAGTAAGTTCTCTCACTGCAAAGTTTTTGCCAAAAGGATTAACACCTTCTTCAGGCAAACCATGTGCCTGTTGACCTTAAACGTTGAAGGAGATTAGAGCTATTTCACAAAAAATTAAGAGGTTTCTAAAGTATATGCCAGAACTGACATAAGAAACTGACACTGAGAGCTGAAGAATGGTGAATATATTCAAAAAGGGAAGTAAGACAAACTCACAGTTGATGTCATGTGCCAGGTACTTCATTTAGCCAGATGTCAGCAAAAAATGCCCTTCAACATAACCCTCCCCAGAAAGAACTCTAGGTCCCAATACAATGGATGTGTATTGGGCAAACTTTCAGGTTACCAATGACACCAATGACTGTTGTTAAAACCATAATAAAAGCTTGAAATTGTAGAAGGAGAAGGCAAGAACAGCCCTATTCTGTTTTAAAAAAAAGTTAACAGAACGGTAACAGAAATGGAAATTACATCCTCTGCAGTATTTGGACCAAACTGGACAATGTGACAGCCACAAACAATTAAATCCTCAGGAAGCAGCAGAAATAAGTAATCCAAAAATCTCTTTTAAGAGAATACATGCATTTGTATAGACATACAGAAAAAGACTCACAATGCCAAACGCAGTTCAATGATAGTTATATTTTTAGTAAGAGTAATTTGAGTTAGAAAGTTTTACTGCAAGCAAGCCAAGATGTTAACAGCATTATGTACAATAATGTGAATAGTTACAGAGCTCCTGTTAATGTAAATAAAATGTAGGACAATGGCTAATTAACTTTTAAGCAACATCGTCTGAAGTTAGCAGGACTGCTGTCCCTTTAACGCAACACTAGACTTCTAGAATGGTTAAAAGTGTGAAGTACATAAAAAAAATTAGACTGCAGATTTGCAAACTTGACACCAACAGGATGGCTGCACGTTGGAAACTGCCCTAGCAGTAGGGAAGCCCAAGATATATTTTATACAAAATGTGTAAATACTGTTACTAGGTATGCACAAGTATCCTGTGAGTTAAGCTGGTCACTTCAAGTCTGATTTACCACAAAAAGTCTTACCATAACATCTGTCTTCATGTATGCAGAGGTCACAGCCAAAGGGCTGAGACAATATGGAGACATAGCCTCTCTGGGATACCACAAAGGAAAGACACTTGCCCAGAAACCCTATGCAGGCCAGAGTAATTCGAATTGAAAAATGAGAGTTAGATTTGACTCCCATCTTCTAGTCAAAAAATCAGGAGCCGCAGCAGGCTCCAGAGGCCAAAGATTTCTGTTTCCATAGCCAACAGTGGAGAAAAAGGAACAGAGCAGGGTGCATTTCACTTTTCATACTCACCAGGGATAAGCTATCATGAAAGTTTCCTCTGTGGGTACTACAAACTGGAAAGTTCTCTAGTCCAATGTATACGTAAAATCTATCACTTAAAAAAAAAAATTCTATCTAATCTATCACTGCAATTCTGTAGTTGCCAGAAACAATAAGAATCTGACAGATTCTTATTACAAGCTCCTCTCCAGAATGAGTTGTGATTTCTGAGTAGCATCATTCTCATCTCTACCAGCTGCCACTGCAGTTACTTTTATGAGATACTAGAATTGTTTCAATCCTTTTTTAAAGTTACTTTCTCCCTTTCCAGTACACTGTCTTGTAGTATCACCAACAGCATCAACTCGTCAGCTACAGAAATAATTAATTACTTTAACAATGAGGAAAAACTCACTGGAGTTTTACATAAGATGCAGCATTTGAAGTATTATTAATACAAATAGCAGTTAGATGCATTGCTCCTCCTAGACATGCAGACCAAAATCAGAGGGATGAAGTCACTATGCAGTTTGCTTTATTCAGGAAATATATCCAATTTTTAGTAAAGCAAGTTTAAGTCAGTACACAAGTCTAGCAGAAACACAGTATATTCAATCTTAAATGAGTACCTGTCTAAAAGTCAAACTTTGACATTACTCATTAAACATTTTATGTGTTCTCAGTTTTCAGATTCTGACTTCTGAACTAATAAGAATTTATGTCATGCTCACTTACCATGAAGGAACACTCTATATTATATAAAGTACATACCTATGCTCTGCCTCAAGTGAGCTTGAAAGAACATCTGCCTGAGGGAAAGCTGAAGACTGAATGATCTGTTGAGATGTAACTGAAGCATTACCATTCTCCTGAGGAATTTCATTTTCAAAGTTTCGGTTTATATCTCTTTCATGATGAGCACTGTTGTTGTTATCCAAGTTAAAGGATTCCTCATCCTGTTAAAAATAATTATGTGTTACAAAGTTTAAAAGTAAATTCCATTCACAAGTAAATGTCTGCAAGTGCTGCAATTCAGTGATTCCACTTTAAAATAAGTTTAAATGGAGATATTCTATACTACTTCGGGGGTAATTCTGTTCATAATTCTAGAGGTTGCAAAACTTGGATACTACAGAAATCTTAAGTTATGCGACTGATCAAGTAATGTAGAAAGCAACTCTCATACCCTGACTCAAACTTTTTCCACAAAGTTTCAAACTTGTCTTAAAATTCAAACTTATTTAAGCTGCCTTTCACACTTGCAGAAATAACAAGTTATCTGTTGAACTTACAAACAACATTACTAATTAAGTATCAGAGCCATGTGTGTCAGTAGAAGTGTGAAAGCACAAGAGTTCTCAGGTGTACTTGGTGTAAGGGACAGGTCACAGCCACCATGTCTCAACCAGCAAATTCATCTGCCACAAGTTTAGAAAGACTGGATACTGCTCTTTAAATTCAGACAACAACTTCCCCTACACACATGCACTCACCACAGCTTCTCAGGCTGTTGTTAACAGCAACTGTAACTTACTAGCATGAAAGAAGAACTGGGAAGAAAGTTTATTTAGAAAGCAGACTGTTCAGGCTCACTCAAATATTAAAAGCTCTTTAATGCTGTAAACCAGAGATGTTTCTTTTTAATCTACTCATTCAGCAACCTGTAATTCTTATTTAGCAATGAGCCAAACAGCCTCAGAAGTCTTACCAACTGTAAAAACAAAGAAGAGAGTATGATCATTATCTAGTTAACATCCTTTTGACAACAAAATCCCTAAACTGGGCACATGACAGCATTATCTGTAGCAGGAGGCAATCACTCAATCAGCCAGTCTGCACTTGTAAGAAACCATACTTCAGAGTCCAGGATCAAGACCACCATCATAATTTTCCTCCCATGCACAGTGTTCTCTGCTTCCAGAAATTTTAGAATGCTGAGCCAGAAATTCTTAAGAGCAAGTATCCCAGTAAACATACATTCAGCTGTTAACTCATACACCTGAAGAATGCATCTCAGATTATCAAATAAAATTCATAAAAACATTAAACAATTTTTATATATATATATAGGGCAAAATATCTTCCTCCAAGCGTAACTCAGCTGCTAATTATGATTTGCCTTGTTATTTCAGAGGTGAAATCTGTTACTGCAAGCCTTAAAATTCCATCAACAGGATCATGTTATAGAAGACTATTGTGCAGTTATCTCCCCATCCACTCAGTTGCACACCATGTCTTCTACTGATGATCATTAAAACGAATGTTGGAAGTAGGGCAACTATTAGTTACAAGATTTGTTTAATATCTTTTCACACCTGTTAGTGAACCAGCAATGGCAGGGAAAAGGATGCATGCACTTAGCAACAACTACTCCAGGCTATGTGTTACATACACCTGTCCAAGGACATTACAACTTCCACGACTAAAAGCCTTTTTTTTTTTCCTCTAAAATACACTTCCTTCTGAAAATCAGCTGTGTACAATGGGACAACCAAATGCATTTGATATATGCATCAAAGATATTATGAACTCAAGACAATTTCAGGAACAAAAACTCTCATCAAGTTTGTGTACTTTCTTCAGAATTCTGAAACTCAAGACAGTGTTTTCCAGTATCTTTTTAATCTTAAATCAAAATCCTTGTGTACTTTTGAAACACACAAGAACAGTATTACCCCCAACTAAACATCTCAGGGTGCTCAGCCACAGAATGGCTAAAGGAAACACACAGACCTTTCTTATCTCACACATACAGTTAAGTTGAACAGTCCCATTACAGCAAATTTTATTTAGCCTGAAATAGGAAAAGGGTCAGAAAAGTCAATCTTACTTTTATGAGCAATGCACACTGGCACTGTTTCTTTTTTCACATCTCTGAAAGTAAATAAACCTTCCTCAAAACCATTCATTTATCTAACCAATTTGTAATTTATAATTTTTTTAAATTTTGTTAAAACACTTTAAACCACCCATTTGGAGCGAACAGGCTTGTAATCACCTCATCCTGAATAATACAATGCTTATCTTCATTTGCATTATGCATGCTTATGCATGCTGGTGGCTGCTAGCACTGACACAAATATCCTCTGGTGCCAGCCAAGCACTGCATAAACCAATTCTGATTGAAAGACACCTGAAATATTATATACAGACAGTATAGGCCTCCAAGTTTTCAATTAGGAAGTAAAAACAGGTTCTTTATATATGCATAAATTTAACTATTACTCCGATGACGAGACCAAGAATAGAGAATTCAGTGGCTATCTAAACACCCAAGTTAGAGAGGAAGTGTTTGAGAAGCAGAACAAAGGTTCTCCATTAACTGTTTAGTAGGATAACTAACAGTCCAAGTATGAAACACTGCTGTCCACAAGTCTATGGGTCTGACGGCATTCACCCAAGGGTGCTGAGGGACGTGGCGGAAGTGATCACCAAGCCACTTTGCATCATCTACCAGCAGTCCTGGTTAACTGGGGAGGTTCCAGACAAGTGGAGGTTAGCAAATGTGACTCCCATCTACAAGAAGGATGGGAAGGAGCATCCAGGGAACTACAGGCCTCTCAGCCTGACCTCGGTGCCAGGAAGGTGATGGAGCAGATCATCCTGAGTGCCATCACAAGGCACATACAGGACAACCAGGTGATCAGGCCCAGTCAGCATAGGTTTAGGAAAGGCAGGTCCTGCTTGACTAACCCGATCTCCCTCTATGACAATGTGACCTACTTAGTGGATGAGGGAAAGGCTGTGTCTACCTCGACTTTAGTAAGGCCTTTGATACCATTCCCCACAGCACCTCCTGGAGAAACTGGCTGCTCATGGCTTGGACAGGCGCACTTTTCACTGGGTAAATAAGTGGCTGGATGGCGAGGCCCGAAGAGTGGTGGTGAATGGAGTTAAATCCAGTTGGTGGCCGGTCACAAATGGTGTTCCCCAGGGCTCACTTCTGGGACCAGTTCTGTTTCGTATCTTTATCAATGA